AAGCTCCTGGTTCATCACACATCGTCGAGCACCGCCAAAATCCCAAATCTGTGATGGTTTGGGCTGGAATTTGTTCATCCGGCAAAACACCTCTAATTTTTGTGGATCAGGGGGTTAAAATCAATAGGGAAGTTTACCGTCGTAACATTTTGGAGGCTGTGGTACTTCCTTGGGCCCAAGAGCATTTTGGCGAACAGGAATGGACATTCCAACAGGACTCGGCTCCTGCTCACAGGGCATCAGAAGTTCAAGACTGGTGCAAAGACAATTTTCCGAACGTTATCACAGCTGCAGAATGGCCACCGTACTCACCAGATCTTAATCCCATGGATTACAGCATTTGGTCAATTTTGGAGACCAGGGCTTGTGCTAAGCCACACAAAAGTTTGGACTCCCTAAAGCAATCACTGCGCCGTGAATGGGATCTTATTTTGCTAGAGGAGCTGCGGCGTGTGGCCGTAAATTTTACCAAACGTTTAAAGCTCTGCGTTGGTGCCAAGGGAGGGCACTTTGAATTCGGTTTAAACACAAATTAGTAATACCTAGTACTATTGTAATTATACATAAGTTGTTTCCTTAAATTTTGCTAAAATTATAGAAAAATATGCAAAAATGCTTGTCCCCGTTATTTATTGTCACCCTTTATTAATTTGTTTATTGATGAAACATGGAAATTTTAAAGGAAAAATTAAATAAAAATGAAAAATATAGCTTAATTAGAGTCGAATCTCAATTCAAGTTTCGGAAAACTGTAACATCCGATTCAGGAAAACAATGAACGCAAGTATGGAACTTAATTATTTGTGAAGAAATAAATAGCCCAAACATTAAATTAAATTAGAAATTGTATGAAAGCGACTGTAACAAAAAAAATATATATTATTAAATATGTATATATTAGGGAATATTGCTAAATCCATCGTAGCCTATTTTGTGAAATTTATGTTATTGTCATTATTGAGTCCGATAAACATTGGTGCAATTCGGATTCATAGATTTCTTTTCAACAGGCATGCCAAAAATTGGACAATGTGTGATTTAGCAAAAGACCCGAATAACTAGCATAAATGCTACACTTCATCGCCGATATATTTTATGAGATCAAATTCGTAAAGAAGTTTCTCGGCCTTTTCGGGCCAATTATGATTATTCAAAGAACGGGGGCTCGGATGAGGAAGCTTACATATTTTCAAACTACTCGCATGGCGAGAACGTTTTACCATGTCGTGCATGTACGATCCGATCACCACCAAAATTTCCGTTTTTAACAAGTCTAATTCCAAGTCCAGTACATCTAAACATGCTTTTCCAATTTTTGCTTTATAATCACCTTTTAACTCACTAGGAGTAATATTGCGTCCGGCACTATCGTAAAAAATTAACGGACAAAAGTTATGTACAAAACATTGGCGACCAAAATTATTTAATGATCCACCCGCCAACTTTTTAAACAAACTCCAAATTCGTACACCACTGGGTTCTTCGATATTGCACTCCAATCCTGATACTGACCGCTTTGCATGTATCGAAGGAGGTTGCTGAACTGAACCTGTCAAGCCCATTTCATCACGAACAGTCAAGATATTACCAAACGGCACCCCAGTTTGGCCCATCCCATTCGACCCTGGATTCATACCAACAAACACAACACGTTTCGGACCATCCAAATACTTTTCCAAGTAGGCGCAATGTATACTCGAAGCATATTCCACAGGATTGTAGACATGAGTAATACCAGGTGGTTTTAAAATGTTTTGCAAATCGTTATTTAACTTACACTCAAGTGTGTAAAACCGACTCCAAAGTGATTGCTTTGTCTCAGAGCTTTTGGAATGCAATGTAGTTTCTGGAGGCACAGTAAACACTTTTGAACAATCTTCAAAGCAGGGTCAGAATTCGTCAAATCGCACATACAGAAAACTGTCTGCTGCTTTTTTAGTGAATTTATTATAAATCGGTAACCATTAGGCGTCTTTAGTTTTTCCTATACTTACTTAAAAAAAAAACTTTATTTTACCTTTTTTTATACTAAAGTTTTTCTAAAGTTTTGTGTAGTTTGTCGTTCAAATTTAAATATCTCGACAACCGCTGGTCCTATTTTAGTGATTTAAAAAGCATTACGACGTACAATTTATAAGCTATTACAATTTCTTATAATATTTAGTAATACCCTTTATACTTTATATAAGAAAAAAACCTGTTTTTTGAGCTTATAAAAAATTTTCTTCTGCGTCTCAGAAAAAAAAATTAAAAATCTCAGCTATAGACCTAATTATGAAGAATTCAATGCTGTTTTCAAATTTTTGAAATCGGCAAAACCAAACAAGCGACAGCAAAAATAGTGACACTGTGCAGCAATACTTGGTGTAATCAACACTTCGACTTACAGTTATTCAATACCCTCTATCTGCATGTTTCTCAAATATGATACTCTGCTTTAAAATATCACCTACGGCTAAACTGTCGTCGATGGTGTTAATATTGACTTTGTATATTGCTTGTTAGAAGAATTTTATTTTAAATTGCAAAGATGGAATGACTGTTAAGTCCCAGATGGGTTCTAACGTCAGCAAGTACTTTTTGTAAAAACGACGCCGCTATGAGTCAAGCTATGCGTATGCTTTGCTTTTTTGAAGTGGATTTTTTAACTTTGTCCATATTACCTGTTGACTTGCGTGCATTATCAACATTTATTTAACTTGGTATGTGCTAATTTGATTTATGTGTATATTTTTATGACTGAAAAAATCAGGGACGTGAACCGGTTTTGAACCGGAAACCGCTTTTTTCTATTAATTAACTGAACCATTAACCGAACCGAAGTTTTCCACAAATGTTTGATCCGAACCGAAAACCGAACCACTTTTCATAAAGGTTTTAAGGTTCTTTTCAACCAATTTTCAATATATAAATGTACCCACTTTTTTTCTTTTTGTTAAATATGTTTATTTACCATGTGGCAATATCAAATATTAATGCAACCCATCTCATTTGACAGACACTTGACAGTTAACCTTGCGCTTTGTTGCACTTGACACTTAAACTTGCACGTTTTTTTTTTCTTTTCCGAACCGTTGAACCGAACCGAAACCCCGGTTCAAAGACCAAAAAACCGCTTTGACTTACCAATCCAAAACCGGTTCAACGGTTCGAACCGCTGAACCGAACCGGCCAAATTTTTCATCCGGTTCACGTCCCTGATTATTATTATTATAAACTCTTCATAGTCTGCTGTAGACTTGTATCAGATTCTATAAAATATTAGTGTTATGAGCACAAGCACGTGTAATGGGCAGATAACTTATCAGATTTATGTGTTGCAAAAAATCTACTTGAATTATAGGCAAATATATAGTCAAAATGTTAAGAGATAACGGTTTCAAAGGATATTTTACAAATGTTATTTTCGCTTTATTTCAATAGAATAGTTATTAAAATTTAGCAGTATAATGCTCAATTCGCAATTGTTCATGAAAAGACTTTCTTATATATGTGTTATTATTTATAAGCTAACCAGCCGTCCTCCTTTGAGGAGGATTGTCCTCCTCAAACGTGATTTGTCCTCCTCAAAAATTTTGTCCTTCCTCCTTTTGAGCAAAAATGTCCTCCTTGTCCTCCTTTTCATGTTTTGTAGCAGTAATGAACTTTTAAAAAAATTGCGTTCAGAATATTATTATTTTCTAATCGTTGTATTTAATAGGCGTTTACATTGTTCCAATTTCAGTTAAATGATGTAAACATTTGATTCGACTAATCGCCTGCGAAAGTTGAACAGTGAACAAGATTGATAGATTAGCTAACGACGCGTCTCCACAGGTGGAAATTATTGCCTACCATATGTCATTTTGTTTGCCAGATACATACATATGTAGGTATAGGTTTTATCAGTGGCAAAATTTGTGTATGAGGATTTTTTATCTTGATAAATGGTTTTGTAAGATGGCTTAAAATAAGTATGTTCGTTGCACTGGAGCGCAAATCTGCTTAAAAATTTTTAGAAAATGTGTTATTTCACATCCAAGTACGTAATTAACCAGACCTGTGTAGTTTGCCTCTTAAAAAATTAATTAGCGATTTGGGTATGTATAGGTACCACGCTACCACAAACATAATAAAATTTCATCACGAAAACTTCGAGAAAATTATTTTTATACTTTTTTTTAGCATTGCCGTGCATTACTAGCGTTAACTTCAAAATAACATAAGTCGTTCTGATTTACTTAGGCTCTTTATGAATATTACCACTAATACTATTGGCTTTTAAGTAAAAATTATATTCTAAATAAATTAAATTTTGGTTTTTCATGGAAATTGCTAAAAATTCTAACATTAAGTACATGTCATCAATAAAAGGAAATCTCGACGTGCTGGAAAAGAACCAGCGATGTATATGTATTTTTATTTAACATACCTAGATTACGGCTGCCATAATCCTGAACTCATCGACTAAGACACTTATCATCCAAATCAAAAACGAAGACACAAGTGAATATGGTGCCAATATATTCCCTATAAGTAAAGTTGTTTTGGTTCTGATATTGTAAGCAATGTAGTTTTGTGACACAATTCGTAGAACTGAAAGGTTGATGATGATGAAACGTTCAAGTTCTGAATATTTAATTATAAACGAACAAATTTATCTTGACGGTGACGTAACTTTGAAAAAGCGGCGCCTTTAACGTGGTCTTGAATGTTTTCCCAACCACCATCAGCGAATTTCCGCATATCCTACAACGCACTTCATGACCATTTTTGCCAATTTTTGTATTCATAAGCTGAAGATAATTTAGGTAGGCTGTCTTAAGTGAAGCCATTCTAAAAGACTTACCCAACAAGGACTGAAAAAAGTGCTTATACTTACTTAAGTATATGTTTATATTACTTAGCATTACAAAAAAGATTCAATAGGAATTGCAAGTCTAAATAAAACAATTTGATATGAACATTAAATAAATTCCTTAAAGAAGTATGATTTTTATAAATTAAGAGAAACTTTAAAAGAACTTCTTCAAACGGCCCTTCTGAAAGCTCTTTTTTTGAGTAGCGAAAGCAGAAGCCCTTCAATTTGTGCCGCTCCATACAAAAAATGAAGGAGAAAGGAATAAGTTTCAGAAAAGCCTTTTGGATAAGATTTTAGCTCCTGATATTATCTACTGGATAGTATTTATGTATGACCCCTCAGTCGTGTACCTGATCAGGAACTTGCACTTTTTCGGCATTCGCCTGAAAAGAAAAGATTTTAACCAAATAAACAAAACAGAAAGAAGATATTCAACATGTTAGAAAAAACGTTTTGGTTTCAGTTTTCGACTACTAATGACAGAAGGCTTATGGGTCGATTATGTATAGCAACGCAACTATGGTTCGGTTGGCAGCTTGCAACGCAACTGAAAAGAAAACTTGTATTACAAATGGCAACTATCGCCAGTTGCTGAAAAGTTTTCGATTATTGAAATTTGACAGCTCGTCAACCAGCGCAGGATTGTAAACAAGCAAAATAATCGCAAAATAAAAGTGAAATAAAGTTATTAATATAGAGTTTTTAATAATAAGTCTTGCTACAATGCTTAGTTCAATAGAACTATTTTTTGAAGAGGAGGAGGAGTGTACGAACGCAGCATCAATCAGGCGACATTTAAGGGATAATTCCAATCCTTTAGAGCTGCCGCCGGCACTGTAAGTAAATGTTAGGATACGTTTTAGTTATTTGTACAATGATTTTAAGTTGTGGTGTTCAAACGCGTCACCGGAATTTTAAAACTTTAACATATATGTGAGTCAAATGATGAAATTCTACTTTTTTGTAAATTTGTATGTGGGTTCTGCGCAAAAGTACTTTGGATGGCGTAGCCGGAATTATACGCACAAGAAATGTTGTATACCTTTGACAATAGAAGTTTGGACTGTGATCTTTGTAATGGGTGGGGTTTGAGATGCAACGGCCCCTCTCCCCCCGCTGCACACCACAAATTCATTGTACCAATAACTAAACATTTCCCAAAAGTTAACGCTTGGAAGACTTTTTATTGTGATTGTTTTTGATTTCAGATTTAAAGCATATTTCCGACTTCCAAAAGAAGCTGTATTATATTTGGTAAATACATTGAGGAATGACTTTAGGGGGAACCATCGTTCAACTGCAGTACCTCCGCTAATAAAAGTTTGCGCAGCTTTCCGATTTTTTGCAGAAGGAAGTTTTATGAAGTCTCACGGCAATGACTTCAATTTGGGACTGGCGCAACCTACGATGTCGGTTGTTTTAAAACAGATGCTTCAACTGATTGAGGAAAAAATTTGCAGCCAATGGATTACTGCAAAAATGGCCGAGGAAGAGAAATCCAAAAACAAGAACTTCTTTTACTCGAAAACGAAATTTCCTGGTGTTGTTGGATGTATAGATGGGACACATGTGCATATAATGGGACCGATGGAGGATGTTCGCCACTTATATATGAACAGAAAAGGATATTTCAGTTTGAATGTTTTACTGGTGAGTTATGTTATCCTGTATGGTTATTTTGTACGACATTTCATTTTTGTTTTTTTGTAGATGTGCGATTACCAAATGCGGATACGGTATGTTGATGCTGGACATCCAGGATCTACTCATGATGCTTTTATTTGGAACAATAGTGATTTGAAACAAATGGTTGCTGATGATTTTGGTCAGAACACCTGGCTTCTAGGTTGTATTTCGTTAATAGTTATGAAACCTTTTGATTTAACCTTAAAATACCTAGGTGCTTCTGGATTTCCATTAGAACCACATCTTTTGACCCCTTTTCGTTCAGCGGAACGTGATAGAGCGGACAAATGGCGTCCTTAAGTCTATATTTAGATGTCTTTCTGCTGAAAGGGGCCTGCACTATAAACCTGACAAAGCTGGGTCAATAATAAATGCATGTTGCGCGTTGTATAATATTGGTTTACACTATAAAGCAGACTGGGAGGAAGATCCGACAATCTCGCAAGAAGTTGCAAGTCCAAATGTAACCGAGAATGATAACACCGTAGCCTCTGATATAAGATATAATGTAATGCAATGTTTAAATGAATAAAATAATCTTTTAGTTGAATAAAGTATTTCATTTTAATTCAATTTTATTAAAAGTAAAAAACACATTTATATCTTTTTAGCGTTCTTCATGTTTATTCATTTTCAGGTATGAAATCAACCTTTTTTATTTCAACTTTTCATTCAGTTTTCCTTAAAACTAATATATCACATATTGAATAAAAGGTCGTCCTATCTCGGCAGCCAGTTCGAAAACGCCATATCTCAGAAAACTTCCTAATAACGCTCTATTTCAGAATTTGATTGAAGAACGCCCTATTTCAGAATTCGAATCAAAAACGGCCTATCCCAATATATTTGCATATGAGATATGGCGTTTTTCCATCAAAATCTGAGATAGGGCTTTATTGAAAACTTTTCTGAGATACGGCGTTTTCGAACCGACTGCCGAGATAGGTACCTTCATTAAAAGATCAGGACAATCGAAGTGTGGGCCAGGACTCCACGACAATTTGTCTAAATCAGGACAAATCCTGTAAAACCAAGACGTCTGGCAGCCCTAACCTAGATCTTAAAAAAAAAAATAACATAATTATTGGAAAGGGGAAAAATTAGATTTCGCAGGCCTGTTTAATCCAATCAAAACAGCTATTTATTTTTAAATAGTTTCTTATAAAAATATAGTTCATTCTATAACAAACACCATAAAAAATTCACATTTCAAACTATGTGAAACTGTTTAAACTTTTGTTTAAGAATTTTGGGAAATGTTTTGCGTATTTTATAGCCCATGCAATTTTAGTCAAATAAAGTGCGAGTTTCATATATCTACAAAATATCGTTGATTTTTGGAATTTTTTTACGTTGTCACTCATTTTCATCCATACAAAGTATGTTCGACATTTTTTTATATGGAAGAAAATTAACAACACTGTCAACAAAAAAAAAAAAAAATTGCCAAAAATCAACGGAAATATGTTTCGGTCTTATAATTATGTAACGCGGTGTACTATTAACTTGTTTGACTTGTATTTAGAGCAAATTTTAATTGTTTTTGTTTCTTTTAACAATGTTAACTTATTCGTTATTTATGTGTTAAATAAATATAAGACAAATTTTTTGTGTTCTCAATATGGAGAATTTGTCCTCCCGGAATGCTAAAAAATTCAGGTCACCTTATTATTTATTGCTAAAATGAAATGAGAATAGTCATCAAGTCAATAAAATAAATTTTAAATAAAAAGAAAAAAAGCACTGACCACGTTACACTTATTTGTTAGGTAATTGTGCAATGAAGTCAGCTATGATTTCTTTTTTTCCACATGGAATCAGTATGATATCGACAATACTAAGAAAACCTTTTGGAAAGGGTACTTAACTATCCAAAAACCACTTTTTTAGTTATTCACATGCTACGTTACACTTAACATTTGCGGTACATTTTATTACGACTTAATAGGAGTTATAAACAACTCTTTCGCTAACTTGGAAGTATCCTGTTAAACTAATTTATTTTCTATCGCTCAGAACTTAATCGGCCAAAATAAATCAACGAAAGCTTATATTTTTGTACTTTTCCTTGTTCAAGTATCGAAAACTGTTCGTGAAAAATCCTTCGACAAAAGGAGCAAAATATTAAACAAAAAATACTTGGACATGATAAGAATTGGTGTCAGAAGCAGCTGACAGATATAGTGAATACCAATAATCACTAATAAGTTTAACATTTGGAAGAAAAAAAATCGGGATGGTTTACTTTCCTGTAGAATTGGCCATATGTATGTTTGTATGTACGAAATCTGTTAAAGGAAGATGTAATCCAAAATACATACAATCATGTATGTGTAGGTTTTGTTCTACAACCGTCCTTCTAGGTACATATGTATATTAAATTTGTAGTAGACTTGTAACCAAATTGTAAATTTGCACTGCTACTACTCATTTAAAAGAGACAGAAATACAGCAGAGGAAATCGTTTCCTGTTACTCTTTAACACTGGATCAAAATCTTTTAAAAAACTTCAGAATAGTGGAACTCAACAATTTAAGATCAGTTGTGTTTCATTTAATCCTAATTTTAAATTGTTGTTAAATGAAATTAAATTACAAATCAACTTTTATTAAACCATATGGTCAAAATTTTGGGAACGAGCGAAAAAAAATTTTTGATATGATATATTTTTTTGATATACACCTTAAGGCATCCTGAAACAAGTGCCAATTGACTTACAATGTATGTGGTGGGCGTTCACTTCTCTTGTTCCTCGCATGCGATCAAATTGAAAAATATTGTCAAATATGGTAAGTAACGTTATAGTAACGTTTGGTTTATGAATATTTTATCCAAAAGTTAATATTTTTTATAGTTTCTTTGAACCTTGATCTTTATTAAAATACTCAAGTTTAATTTTTAACTTCGCAAGAATTCGCCAAATTTTCCTTACGTGTGACCTTATACAGTATCGGTGATACCCGTCTTTAGCCCTATTAGACTAAATTTGATTGGGCTATAAAACTGTGCATTCAGAAAAATTCTAATACTTCCGAGAAAAAAGTTTGAAATTTATATGAAAATTTGTTGCACTTTTTTGTAGTATTCTACAAATTGTTAAACTTGGGTTTATAAGAACTATATTTTAATTGAAAATTCTTAAAAATAAATAAATAAACATAAGTGGCACACAATATCACTTTGAAATGGCGTGCTATAGATATGACCGATACTGTATATAACTGAACTCCAAAAAATGTAACGTTAAAGACTACTTAAAACCACATATATCTTTAAATCAACAAAAGATAGGAAACAAGTGTTTGTATATAAAATGTAGCTTTTCGGGTTTATTATCAGGATAAATGAAAAAGTCTCGATTTTTACACAACGTTTCAGAAATATAAACAGAAATATACGCCCGACTGTAACGTTAAAGAGAAAAATTTTTACCACATGAGGCATTTCATGTTACCGCGGCCACCTCTGTGCGCGACCTCTAAGGATTTGGATGAAAGTTGAAGAGATTGAAGGTCTAGGTGACATGAATATACGTGCAGCATATTTTGCCGATATGAAGTAGGGTTGCCTATTTCCACCGGACTTAAATTTTAAGAAAACGTTATACATACCTTTCTTTAAAGTGCTGTATCTTGGAAACCTTTTAACGAAACTTAATTAAAAAAAATGTATTTCTTCCGTGTTATTATGTGCTTTAATTGTACATTTACATTGATGTGCAACGTATAGAAAACAAAAAGAAATTAAGTAAACATTTTTCTTTTTGATTATTTTTTTTTATTATGGCATTTTTAAAATTTTTTATTTTTACACAAAAACATTGTCTATAATGTCAACTTTAAGTACCCAAATGCGCGTAACGGGCTACTTACGCGTACACTCAGAAAAAGGTTTAGTTATAATTACCAAGATTTGGTTATAGTGACCAAGTGGCACAGTTGAATATGGCGAAATAAATATCTAGTTCATGAAAGTCTGCAATTTACTTGAGACTTCTAGTTGGGTCAAATGTATATTTGTTAATAATTACAAAACGACTATTACGATTGACGATATTAAGCATAAAAAATACATACATATTTTCATAGATAGTTACTAGTGTAAATAATACATACTTATGTAATGGTGGTAAGAATTTCCTAAAAAGAAACGCTGAAACAGGAACAGTCGTGTGAAAACCCAGGTCAATATGTGGTGAAAGTGCTGGTTTAAGTATACTGCTTTGCTTTTTCCTTGGCTGAATAGATACTTTCAAATTATAATTCGCATGAATTATATATCCACTGAGAAACCCCGGTTGGCATCAAACTTTATATTTTGAAATAACTATGCGCACACCGAAACAACTCGCGTCGATGGCAAAACTGAAACTGAGACAAACAAGTCTGGGCATGTCATAGCACACACTTTTCTTTCTCTACCTAGCGCAGTGATCGACATGCCATAGCTTACTGAGCGCTCTGTGACCACACGCGTGTTTCGCCCATATACGCTACCGCTAGCAATGATTTCCACACAAACAGTCTCATTCATTGAATCGTTTTTATGCAATGGTCGGCATACTAGCGCATTCAAACGATAAGTGGGACTGTGTGCATTGCTCAGTTGGCGCTCTTCGTATGTGAAAAACTCACGTGCTCAGAGAGCGCTCAGCATTCTTGAGGGGTGGCTCACAAGCATGAATATGTTCCGCTCTCAAACCAAATCGTGGTTGCCTCAACTAAGATTTGGCAACTATGACTAAACCATGGATTGGAAGAAAGCTTAATATTGTAAAAATTCGGGAACTAAATATGTATCTTTAGTTGTCGAAACTAATCCTTTTTCTCAGTGTATGGACTGTAGATCCTCTAACGCTCGAGCAATATAATAAATAGACATTGAAATTTTATGAAATTGTATATTCTTGAAAGAAGAAATGTGTGTAAAAAACCAAAACAATATGAATAAATAATACTAACTTTACTAAAGGGTCTGAAATCACGAAAATCCCTTCAAGGAAATGGCAGAATTGAACTTTGTTGCAAGTTCACATGGGAACAAGTAAGAGCAGCGCAAATTTATTGGTTTTAGCAGTTCAAGTAAAGGAGTTTTACAGTAAAATCCCATATCTGAACAATCACATGTATGGAAGATACATATATGTTATAGTCACCCGATCATTGTTATTTTCACTGTAAGCATTCTGTTAATAATGAGTGAAAATGGTGCGAAATTTCATGTTCCTAGCTGCATAAATGGAGGAGTTATAACGAAAAATCTCATATCTGAACAATCAGATGTATGGGAGCTATAGGTTATAGTTACCCCATCTTTTTAATTTTCACTGTAAGTTTTCTGTTGGTAATTATTGAAAACAGTGCGGAATTTCATGTTCCTAGCTATATAAATGGAGGAGTTATAACGAAAAATTTTATATCTGAACAATCGGTTGTATGGGAGCTATAGGTTATAGTGACCCGATCTTTGTAATTTTCACTGTAAGTATTCTGTTGATAATGGGTGCAAG